TAGCATCCTCCTCTGTCACACCAAACCACTTCATGTCCTCGATCACTACATCCAGCAAACTTTGTTGCGGTCTTGCTCTTTTCCACCTGCCTGGAAACTTCATCTTCAACATTCTTTGTCTAATATATCCACTCTCTCTCTTTTCCATGTCTTTGCATCATCAGCAGTGCCAGTCATACCTTATAGCAGATCTCACTACCATATTGCAAATACCTCCTTTCATTCTAGCTGCGATCATTCTGTCATCTCCACCCACTCAATCCTGCCTGCATTCTCTTCTTCATTGTCTGTTGCTTTGGATGATTGACATCAAACATTAAAACTCATACTTTTTCCTAGTCTACTCCTTGCAGTTTCTCTCAATGTCTCTCATTCACACAAATGTATTCTACTTTATTTGTACAGACTCTCATTCCTCTTCTCTCCATCCTATATTCACAAACAAACAATGCTTTGCGAAATGGCTTTAAAACTTATTTAAAAAAAATCAAGTAAATGTATAGTCACTTACGAACATCAGTTCCATTAGAAAGCACATAGGGAGAAACTTTGGACAAATTATTGTAATTTCAGCTAGTTTGCTTGTAGCTGATGACAGCCGCCATGTTTCAGAGCAAATCAAAACACAGTATGCTGTATACCGCAACTACGACCTGTTCAAGTCTCAACGTAAGACATATTACCAAGGCAATAACCGCCCGTTGGTACTTACTCTGAAACCGCTATCTTCTGTTTTAGTGCCAGGAATGATGACACATATTCAGCCAGACTCTGACGAAAGACAACAAAACAAACAGGGGACATCACAGTTAGTAAATACTTATCAACACGTTAACTCCACAAGATAAAAACACATTAAATCGCTCCATAATGTTTAAGATCTGGATCGAAAACATGAGGTAAAGCACTGTAACTGATTTCTCGGTAACAAAAAAGCCCCCCAAAACATCACCGACCTGCTGCAAAACAGAGCAGTTTTGACAGTTTCCAGTCGTCGCGTCCGCGGCGATTGCCAACGCTTTGGACTGATTCTCCCCTGGCATCATAGTAAGAAAAATCCCACCGATACCCAGGCAGCCTTTACGTTTTATTCTGAAAACGGAAAACTTTCATATCTTAGTGTCACAAATTCCACGACGGCTCCTCTATATTCAAAACAACTTCACATTTTCGCGTCTCCCACGTTGACCAAGGACCCAAGCGAAGGACCCCTTTAGCGGTAGCTTTGCAAAATGCCTGTCGCCGTGAAATATAAGATTTCTAACTAATAAGTTCAGAACATCATCATATTATATTCATAAGTTACGTATTGAATTGAATATCGGTAACGCGTACGTACGAAATTAAAATACATTTTACCGCTTCCTTACCGTGATGCCTCCTGTTGTTCAAGTTTTTTCTTCAGGCATTTCAGTCTCGTTTTCGTCAAAATTAATTTGTTTGTGTAAGTATCAGGAATGAACGAGGCCAGAGTAACCGTTTCCTGTAGTTTTAACATGATATAGTTATATAACATGATATAGTCTGTTTTAAATGTTTTATGTTGTTGTAGTGTTAGCCAAGATTTGCGAAGCCCGAAAAAACTATTTTCACTCTGTCAAACCCACTGTCAATAAAGTGGCGACATCTGCTGGACAAATTCTACATATTGGCTTTGTGTGTTAAAATTTGAAAAAGAAGTTAACACTCAATATTTACGTGTATGTGTTTATGTGTGTTATGTGTATATTTTTTCCATGAATTCTCCGTGTAACTACTGAGCTACTTAAAATACAGTTCACAGCCTGCTTATTGAATTCCGTTTTCATGATAATAATGTCACGGAATATTGGTCACGTGATTTTTTTTTCTGCGTAAAGTCCACGTGTTGACTCTGAACGTTATTAAGGTGGAAGAACTGTAATTTGTTAGGTAGGCAGACTGTTTTGTCTTCAAAGTCCTACAAAACACAAATAGCAGTAAATCTTTATACCAATAGAGCTATTTCAGTATTCAGGTTCGCATCATTAATATCACTCCCTGGTGGTCTAGTGGTTAGGATTCGGCGCTCTCACCGCCGCGGCCCGGGTTCGATTCCCGGTCAGGGAACTCAACTTTTTCTTTCGTCCCTGTATAGCTTCCCAAAATCGTTGCAACACATTAACCTACCTACAACCACTAGAAATTACTCAAATACAAAAACACAAATATACTTTTGGTTTCTACATTTCACGAAACATCACCAATTCCTCTCTTTGGTTCTTTACACCAAGGAAACATGTATCTTTGTGAAGGAAAATCTGAAAAGTGACCCCTATCTAAATACTCCAGACTGGACTCTGACATCTTGATTTTACAGCACAGTGAAGTAATCTTTATAAACAGCGAGGGATAAAAGTTTCAAAAGAAGGGATACACTTGCAGTAAAGAACAAGGAGTTGACTGGTTGTCAAGTTATAACACAGAGAAGCTGGGATTTACTCCATTTCCCATTTCCTACCAAGTCCAAGAGCACTGTTACTCTGCTATTCAGCTAAATAGTTGCCTATTCTTCACAAATCTAATATAAAGAATATTTAGCGTCATATTAAAATATTAATCAATACCCCAAACCCATTTACTGACACAGAACGTTGCACTCACTCCATTTTCATTTACAAATACAAAGTTGCAACATAAAAAATGCATGTTACCCACCAATCCCAAGCACCATATATTTTGACATTATATTATTATTAGTTAGCAGATATAGGCAGCAGAGGGTGCTATTGTACTAATAACAGTTGTCGCACTGCTCTCGCTCCTTCTCAAACCCACACACTAAACCAGTACTTTTGTTAGGTATCATAATTTCAAGTTTCTTTTTAAAATACCACTTTGGAGTTCAGTGTTAATGTCATATTTTTTAATAAATGAAGATTTCTAGTTGGTGTTCTCCTTCTTGAAAGTTCTATCAATTTCAACATAAGAAGAAACACCTGAAGACACCGTTGTAAATGCCATCATGATGGAAAGACCCTCTGACTGAACCTTCTGAGTTGCCTCAAGGCAAAGGAGCCACACTCTTCAAACAGATGCAGTCAAACAGAGACAGTGACTGTCTATGACAGACAATCTCTGCTGTTGATAAATTTGTCTCAGTCAACTCTTGTTTAAATCCACAGGAAGCTGTCTGAACCCTATCTTGAATACACAAAACAAAACAAAACTGCTCCATCGTCTTAATCCCTTCCTACTTGTGAGGTTGAATTTTGTCCTTTTATTTTTTTTCCTCTGAAGTTGCTGCGGTTGATGTAAATGGAAATACATATTTTTGCACTGAGGTCACAAATATTTTTGTTAAGTTAAAGGTCCTTCAACAGTAAAGCAGTTATGTGAGTTAAAGATCCGATCTCACTTGTGTCTCTTTTCTTCACATTGGCATGCACCAATAAAACGGTTCTGCATCACATAAAACCTTGCAGACATTTGCCTGTGAAAAAAAGGCCCACTGAAACTATGGCCTATATTTATTCAGTATTTCAGTGTCTAGGCACAAATTTTCTTTGCCTGGAGCGAGCCAATGACTTTAAAAAATGACTTTACTTTCTACATGATTTCTTCCTACTTTTAACACTCTTCATATTTCCTTCTTCACTGTCCAGCTGAAGGTCCTTGTAACGGTGCCCCAGGGATTATGACAATGGTTATTTTGTTTTGGGCATCTGTGTCTCCTTGACTTGTTGAGAAATGAGAAAAGAGCAAAGCCCAGATACAGTATGTCATAGGTGTTGAAATGGCTAATACCACATTGGCATTACTGTTAGCCTGTGTTCTGGCTTACATGCAGCACTCTGTTGAATCCTGAGAACTAGATCTCAGGATTAGCTCTCTGCTTGCTGTTCTATAAATCTAATCATGCAATATTTCTTTTGAGCGTTGTTATAGTACATAATCTGTTGAAAAGGGTTCAAAAGAACTCCTAAATATCAAGCAGTCACAGAGTCAACAGATGGATGCCCAGTTATACCTTCATCGCCTGCTGTTAGGAAATGCAAGGTAGGGCGTTAGCAAGACCTTATCTTGGAGTATTATATGAATAAACTGTAAATTAGCAATACTGTACTGACAAGAGTAATAATCGCATTGCATTCCAACTATACTATTTCAATTTACTTCACATACTTTCATGTATGTGAAGTACAACATGTTTTCTGTAGCCAGTCCATTGAATTTGAACTTACTGGCATGTAAAAGTAAAAGTAAAGTAAATAACTGTAATTAGTTGTAAATAAATGTAAACAGTTGTAAATAATTAAATATAGTTCATTAAAGTTCTATTAAAATCGGTTTGATGCGCTTTGTGCATATCAAGCTAATCTTTTTTTTTTTTACTACATTATTATTTTGTAGAGTCCCACCTTCACCATAGCTAGAGCCATCCAAAGATGAAGGCTGGATTATTACTTTTTAGTTTAAGTGTTCCAGGGTTTAAGTCTATTTTTTGGTGTCTGTAATCAGCAGAGAAATGAACAATCTTAAGGATAATACACATAATTTTCCTATAGTTTAATGTCCACACCTGGCTGTGTTTCAAATGGAGTCCTTTGACTTTAATAAATACCTGCAGTGTGACACAGCAAAAGAGGTGATCTGTGTTGTGATGTAATAGATAAACATGAATTGAATTCTTGTCTATAGCAGCAATCTTCCTATGAGCCAATTATCCTAGATATCTACAACCTCCAGGAGCTAGAAAAAAAAAAATCAGATTTTTAGGTATTTTAAAATAAACGATGCAAAGATAGTCCGATATTGAATTGCAGTTTTTTTATACTTAACATTTCTTGACTCTGCATGGAATTACAGCTTGATGGTAATACAGACTGAAGGTGTTAGCTATATTGTAGCACATGCAGTAATAAGTAAATCTTTTTAGGCTAAAGAGAGGAGGTATTAAAAAGGTACAGGATATTTTTCCATTCACTTTCTTCAATGTAGTAAGTGAAGATACAAGTACTAGCAGCTGAAGTGGCCTCAGCTATGACTACACAGACACAAGTACACATTCAAAGCACGTAAAACAACAACAACAACAACAAAACTGTACTTGAATAGAATCAACTTTTTGGGCTACCAATGAACAGCTCAATAAATCTATTTTGTATCAAAATAATGTTGTAATAAAGGCTCAAGGAAGACCTGCACATAACTGCAAGAGTGACCTCAGAAGAACAAGGAATCACTACATTTTGATTTAGAAATTATAGTTGGTCTTCACCAGCTGCACAGCCAGAGGTTCTGATGTGTTAGTCTGTCACATAAGTGGTTTAGACATTGGTTCAAAAGCATGAAGCATGCTGAGCAGGTCAGACCTCTCACTTCAGCATGTTTAGTAATAAAATCAAATCTGGTTTTTAAACTTCACACCATTGCCTAACTACAAATTATACTTGTTACCTAGAAATATAAAATAAACAAACAAACAAAAATGATATATGGGATCTAGGTTCATACAATAATGCCATCAGGCCTATTATAATGGGGCACTTATGTACCTAAAATAACAGAACATAATATGAACTATTTTAGTTCGTATTAGTTCAGTGAGTTGTTCCTTGTGTTATGAACGTCACAGCTGTTTTCTACAGTCATTGGTCAGCACAGGTAAATTACATGAAGAGTTGCATTATGACTAAGGAAAAAAGATACCTCTACACAGTTACCTCTGAGACTGAAGACGTCACTTGGATCAGCAACCACCGAAAACCCAACGTCCAGATGAACACAATCAACTTCCTAGGGTTACCGCCACAGTTTCAACCATACAACTTTAATGATATAATATGATGTCAGCTGTACACACTGAAGGAACATAACAGCATATTAGACATACTAGTTACATATGGGATATGAAATACAAGGCTAGCTCTTATCTGCTTCAAATTGTGTTAGCAAAACTTCAGAATACAATATTGAGTCCACCAACTATATTTAAAGACACAGACATAGATAGTAAAGCTACAAATGAAGGCTCACTGCTATTATGGTAATAGCTATATTTTCAAACAGTGCATGTGAAACAGGATGAATACACATAACACTCTGGAGCGGAGCCATATTTGTGCTATTGACAATGTAAGTTAAGCCGGAGTAGGCCATCCTATATAGCTATATTTCCAGCTATATCTCCTATATAGCTTGGGGAAGGACCTCCCCTTTGTCCTGAACCTCCCCTTGTCTCTGTTTCAAGATCTACTTCGTTATGGGAGAGTCTGACCAAACATAAGTCAGATCGGATCAATTGAGTAGAACAAAGTAATATTAAAAAATTATTTTAAAAAAATGTATTTAAAGAAAATATGAACCCAAACATTAAAAACGTTTTGGGTGCAAATTAATGTGTTACTGTAATGGCGTTACATTTTCAGTATAAGTTACACACAGTCCTGCAATCAGCTGATTTCACTTTGTGTGCTTGTGAAAATGATTTTTATTAATATTGTGCAAAAGCATCTGCACAGACAGTATGCTAACACATAGCTAGGCAAGAAACCAGAAACATGTCAAGGCTAAGCCTTCCAGCCCAGCAGCCAGGGGCAGATTTTCAGCAGAAAAAAAGGCACTTAGACTTGTAGCACTGAAACCTCCATTTCTACACGTACATATCACCCTGGCGTTCACTTTAAAGTCTCTTTAAAAGGAGGTCAAATGCACCGTAAATTTAGAAAACACCAGCAAATAGAAAAATATGCAGTCCAAAACCTTCACAAAAAAACTGCAGAAGTGTTTTTGGGGGGAGACAATAATGTGACGGACCAGATACGAAACTGAACAGCTTATAGCAAACATGTATCCACATTGTTATATGAAAAATGCAACTAAAACACACATTACCTGCATGTTTTTCCTCACTCACAACACAGATGAAACCATCTCTTCTTTTAAGCGTCTCAGTGCAAACCTTTGTGGTTTCTATCTCTTCCACAGCTGTTCCGTCAAGTTATTATCTCCAAAAAACACTTGAGTTGTGTTTTGTATTATTTGAGTTTTTTTGTTTTGTTTTTCTTACTTGTTTTATTCAACTTCCATTGGGTATTGCAAGCTCTTACAGCATTTTTATATTTGCTGATGTTTTCTTGAGTCACAGTGTGTTTGACTTCTCAGGGCCACCATACTTTGGGCCAGGTTTCATCTTTGCTTTGTGTTGCCGGCTTTGTGTTCATAATTAAAAACTAAAACAAAGATGACATCGGGATATGGATAAAAATTAGGATAGGAATTTGAGTCATTGTGCGGGTCTGTAGCCTAAAGTTTTTATTTCTGACTGATAATTAAGCGAAAATGTGTTTCAGGTCATTTTGTGGAGTAAAGCAAAAGCAATACAATTGCTTTGTCCAAAAAGTAATTTAGTAGCTTAGTGCATTGAACTGAACTAACTGTACTGAAAAGACATTCCATCAAAGTTGAGTAGGTAGGTAAAGCAGAGAACTACCATGTAATCTTACTTATGTTGGAAGGAAAATAATAAATAGAAGCAAAGACTGGAGTTAAGATGTTTAAATGTACATATATACATTACAGCTGTTACAAGTAAAAGTTGTAAATCTGTATTTTGAAGTCAGAGAAATGCAAAAGACGTACTAGCCCCCGCTATGGCAGAGTGGAACAATGGTGACAGTGATGTCAGTGATATGGTGCAATCCTAATCCTCTGTAAAGGCATGATGACAGCGCCATGCCCAGTTGAAGACTGTAGCCAAAGTTGTATGAGTCAAGCGATCAAGTTTCCATCCTGAATATTTGTTTTTCTGCTTTTCTCCACCAGTCCTTTTAGAGTTTCAAGTTTATCCCCCCCTGAAAGATACTCTGTCCAACTTAAAGCTAAAAATGATGAAATCGGGGCTCATGTTCCTGTAGTTACACATTTTGTTTATCTTATTTCATTACCACCGTAAAAAAAATCATATTGTAATAGTATTACCTATCATCCATCACTGCTTTTAAAATGTAATTGATATGTAATGCATTTTTGTGCCATATAAATGCATGCTAATGTCATGTATAATAATGTAGGACACAACACACTGATATGGCTTGTTAGTGATTTCACTTGACAGCTGCTTTCTTTTAAAAATAAAATAAAATAAAGGTTTTGCATAAAAAGGTGCAGTTTGACAGCATGTAATGAAAATTAATGACACATATTAAGGTAATGGGCTTAGGGTAGAGTAATACAAGGACACATTTATAATGCTTAATCATACAGTTTTCCAGAAACACTGCATTGCAAAGCCAATAAATAAAAGAAATAATACTGTACACGGGTCACACAATTCATTTGTTATTTCCTGAAGCTTGAACATTTCACACTGATTTCATGAATTCAATGTGACAAAGTTGTAGCACCACTTGGAAGGAAAGCCACATCACGCAGACTTATCCCGTCACAGAAAACATATGCATCTGATGATGCAGTTGATTTGTGCTCTGTTCTTTTTTTACTTTTACATGACAACTTCCATGGCAACTGCCCAGCTATTAAAGAAATACACATTGATTAGCATGTCATTTTTGTTCTCTTTTTTTTAATTAAAAAAAATTAAGCTCAAGGCAAAATTTATTTATACCTTTATCGTCTTTTTGAAACGTCCCTTTTCATTAAGAAACCACAGATTGTCAATTCATCAGGGTCTGCAGCGCAGACCAGGGCATATCACATGTTGCGTGGCAGCGCTTGAAGACGTCTTTCTTTGTTGGTTTGCCATCGTTGGCCTTTGGTTGACTGAGAGATGCTGAGTGTCCTGAGTACAGATCTTTTCAGCTACAGTATATAAACAAAGCTGGGATTTTTCAGTTTCTTTTAGACATGTCCATCCTATTTGCTTTAATCACGATTACTATTTTGTTAGTTCCTCCACATAATTCTTGTCTTTATTTGTTTTTTCCCGATCACATTCCTGTGTAGTGCTGTCAACATCAAGTTCTTGTATCCAGATGTCCGGCATCGCAGAGAGAAAATGAAGAGCACTTCCAAATAAAAGGCTTTGTATTTCAGTGCTCGCCACATGCTTAAAACCACAACCATGTTTTGCAGTCTTTTGACTAACTACCTATCTGCCTGTACAGTGGACTGAGTCACGTCCTAGGATTATAGGTTTGAATTTGAACATGACTGGCAGCACTGCTTGCCATAGAACTTGTGGTTGCAGACTCCATGTTGGGGCACCAGGTAACACCAGCTGAAGTAATCCTGACATGCAAGTTCTGTGTAAAAAGAAGAGAAAAAAAAAAGTGAAATTCTTTTTCTTTTTTGGGAGATCTTTTGAGAGAATAAGAGCACTGGTACCTTTCTTCTCAGGTTGTGGACAGAAGTTGGTATTGCAGGCCTGGGACACTGCAGGTTTGAGATGGACGGCACAGCCGGTGGAAGGTTTCTCTTCCGCCAGACACTGGACCGCCCTGGCCTGCACTCCTCCTCCACATGTCACCGTGCACTGCGGAGAGCGAAGCAACAAGGAAGGGATTATAGATACTGTGAATCTCCTTTGTGCGACAAATTCGCTCCCTCCTCTTGTTTATATTACCAAAGTGGAAATTCTGCTGATACCTGAGACCAAGGAGACGAGCGCCATTCTGGCCGAGGTGGAGGGTGGGCTGGATAGCTCCGATGATGCGTCTTCCATTGGTAGTGCACTGATTGCGTTGTACGGACAGGGCATTCAGCCAGGATGCAGGGCTTCTGAAGCTCTACTATGGGTTTGGGAACATGGTGGCACTTCTTGGGTGCAAGCTCTCTGTATTTTCCTGCAGTGTCCTTTATTATGAAATAGATAAATTCACTAAAGCTATAGATGCCATTATATAATAAAGAACCTCCAACAAATCAATTTAGAAACACAAAAGCAAATAATTAAAATAATATTAACAAATTGGAATTTAAAGAGAATTCAAATGCAGCGAATTATTATGACACTGAAAAATGACCTTTTGCTGTGTCTGATCAAACACACACACAATACACACCTTCTCTGCACACTTGATGAAGCGTGCCTGATAGCCACGACCACATGTTACTGAACACTGGATGTGGAACAGAGCAGAGACAGAGAGCTTATTCACATTAGCTAAAAATACATTTAAATACTGCATAAGTGCTGTTTTATTCATTTTAATTTCATACCTCTTGCCATGTGGAGACAAACCACTGGACCTTGCGTTGTTTCTGGCAGCGTCTGATGAAGCAGGAATCCTGACCAGCAGGTTTTGGCAGGCCTGCGCACTTGCTGTTGGGCAGCGTGTGTGCCTGGGCACCCGGGTTAGAGCTCACACACAGCACAGTCCTCTTCTTCAAACCATTGCCACACTTACGCGAGCACTGCCAAATAAAAACAAACATGATATCTGATTGCATTTAGGTATTGGAGCAAAGCTTTCTCTTAATTAATGGCTGATCAGTTGGTTTAAATGCTACAGTATTAACAATCTTTGTTATCATAGGTAGGTCCAAACTGTCATGTTATATTCCAGCATTGTCAAAGCCTTGTTATGTGTTACACACATTTTTATCATCCATTAACAAAGACATAAAAATGTAGACTAAACTGGTTTTTTGAGAATTTCTTTCCATTTTTTCCCACCTTCTTTCAAGCAGAAGGAACAAATTTATCAAAATTAATTGAGAGTTTGACATATTTAATTTAGCGATTACCTGGCTGGAAATGTCACATGCTAAACATCTTAACAGGCCAGCTATGCACAAATAGCATTTCAGAAAAGCTGCTATACAGCATAGTCACCACACAATGGATTACTGTGCTTTACTGCCTTAATAATTCCTTTGAGGTACTCCAGCAATTCCCTCAATATCCTTTTTTTATTCTAGAAACAGCTAATGGGACAATCTAAATCTTGAAGTGATTCACTACAGCCAATAAACACGGGGCTGTGACGCACTACACTGTGCCACAAGCTACCAGGGGGAGAGCGAACTGGACACCACTTGTGCCATGTCGTTGACGATATTTGGTGTAAAACGGCAGTTAAAATGTTACACTGAGACAAGTCACCACACAGAATGTATAGGATTTGGACAGAGAACAAAACACTGGAGGTCTCAGCGGGCACATTCATAGTTTAAAGCCACTGAGATCACTGTCATAAAATGTGGTGAAGCCATTAAAGCCAGGGCGAACTTCACAACACAATGTGCAGAGCTCTTTAGGGCTTACTGGGCGAGCGTATGACTTCAAAGGGGTTTTTCAAGCTGTGTTCTTCAGCAGCAACGTGCCAGCAGCGTAAACAAACAGCATTAAAGTTTCACACTCTCACCTGCGACCACGACCCAGTTGTCCAAACCGGTGGACAGCTGTGTGTGTTGCAGGTCTGCTTCCTGACCGGGGACGGCTGGGCACAACGAGAGTCAGCCAGGGTGTCCACGTCAGTCTGGCTGGTTCTCTGGACACACTGGACCTGCCGAGTCTGCTCCCCTCCTCCACAGCTTCGGCTGCACACCCCCCACTCTCCTACAGACCAGCTGGGACAACACAACGCAAACCCATAGAGTCAATACGCACAGTTTCTCGATCAGTTAGACAAGTGTACAGGAATTAATGATAATTATTGTTATTGTGGTAATCACTGGTGTATTATGGAATCCATCTATGTTACCAGTATACAATCTGTGTGTTTGCCAGCAAAAAAGCAGTTGGGCAAAAAACACAAGAACAGGCTCAGGAACAGGAACAGATTTACCCTTGAGTGGTGATTTCCACCACCCTAATTTCCACCATAGTTCACACTAGAGTGTAAACACGGCACAGAAATATTCACGCGCTTCAACACAAACACATACATATGGCAGGGAGGACATTTTAATTAGCTAACGATACTGAAACTGGCTAAATTGTGTATAATGCTGCTGTTTTCCTGCTCTGTCAGTGCTAAGTGTATTTTTATCTTTAATAACTTACCATTTTTTTTATTATTTTATTTTTAAAATAATTTTTAGCTTAAGAGAAAGCCGCACAGAATTTCACTGTGCTATGTATAATGACAATAAAGATCATCCATTCATATAATAGCGTCTGCAGAAGATTGTCGAATCTAAGACATTGCAGACATGCAATGTTTCAAAATAAATCTAAACTAAATTTAAACTAAATCTGATATAAATTTTATATTGTGCACGTCATTATGGTTAATATGGCTTATTTGTCAATATTCTAAATATCATGTACAACCAGAACGGCCGGAGTTTTTAAGCTGTAAGTTAAACCTCTGCAATATTTTAACCCCCCTCGCCTGGCTAAGCTGAATCATGACTAAAACTAAACATCACCACATATTTCTTTTGTACATAACACAGTTCAGTTTATACTATTTTAGTGCATTTTTCTTCCAAGACTGCGCCTCAGTAAAATGTGTTAAGTTGCCTAATCCTCAAGCCTTCGCACTTTCTTAAAGCTTTGTTGCATCGCTTCCAAATGACCCCAAACTAAGGGCGCAGGCAGCTCAATCGCTCAACACACACTCTGTTATCCTTTCTCTAACTTCACCCCAGTATACCCACCCAGCCTCCTACGATTTACCCCAAACAACCCAAAACACTGCTGTCAGCACACTGAGCTGTGTATATTAACAGTCTAAACTTTATTTGCAGTAATTTGGTGCATCACTTGCTTGGAATGCTGCAGAAGGTCAGTGAGAAAAGCTCCGAAGGGCATCATATGTGCACTATCAAATGTAAATAAAGGCAGAAGTAGAAAATCTATCTGGTCTTTTGACATGTCATGAGGAAGATACACACTGCGGTAATAGCAAATGGTGGTTCAGGGGGAGCGAAAGCGGCATGTAGAGATGAAAGTTTCAATTCGCTTGTTTATTTTAAAAAACCGACCAAGTAATCAACACATATATGTAATACATTTAACATGTTGACATAATATTTATTAACCTTTGGCAAAGAAATGTGAGCTGAACTTTGATGGCGTCATTAAACACATAAATAAACGCCAACTGAAGCCTAAGTGCAACACACCCTTCAAGAGCAGGGACTTTTTTGGGGTTTGTTTAATTTTTATTTTTAGTTTCACAAGGTGCAAAATTCAGAATATTGTATTTTATATAAATATATTTCCATAAATACTTCAATTCCTAATATGCACAAGATTCCTATGTCACAGCATGCTAATTTGTAGGATAGCAGCTGATGTCACTCATTTAACATTTAAGAAAAGTTATGATGACATAAAATCACTTATTATGACATATTGTCTTGGCTCTCTTACCCCTTCTTAGATATCCCTTCCTGCACAGGAAAGTAAAATATAGCCATCTGGCATACAGTTGGCAAAATATTTGAATGTATATGATGATAAACTGCAAATTAAAACTTTATTTCATACTCCAGGGTATTTACTTTTACCATGTAAATATCAACACAATCACTTCACAGGAACGGCCATCGAAATAATATACTGCTTAATGCTGGATCAAGTTATAGAACACCTTGTGATCTTTGCCTCGGCTGGTATGAGTAACTGTGGTTGAAGGATGAGTAAGCATCATGCTCCCTGGACAGAAGCACAAGAGCTCAGGTGTCCTGTGGTGTGTCAGATAGCCTTTGAGGTCTAAATGACGCTGTCTAAATACACACTAGTGCATTAAATAACCTCTGACCAGTGTTTATAGCTTTGCCACTGTGCGTGTCTGCTTGGACTTTTACATGTATATATCACTGTGTGGGTTTTTTTTTCAGTGTACACCAGCAGTGTGAGACAGAGTGATATCATGCTCTAAATGTGAGTGGGCATCGGAAACCTTTTTCCATGATGTAATGCTTGTTCGGTCCAAATCACTGGTTGCAGACACAGCAAAATTAAATAACTGCACGGCCTTAGAATAGGATGACATGTAGAGATAGACTGGTGACCACAGCCTGCTGGTCTACACTTGCATCCAAGTTGTGCGTGTTTCGGTCGGTCCAGCATGTGTTCTGCTTCAGATTCAGTTCATGCATGGCGAGGGCCCACAAACTGTAAAAGACTCATGCACTTTAATAACTTGAATAAAAGAAGCACACGCACATTTACAATTTTTAACAAAAATGCTTAATACTAGACTGGATATTTGACAAAAGTATAACTGAAACTAGTTTAGCTTGAATAAAGCATGAAACAGAACTTTGATATAGTACAACACATTAATCAGGCAACTATATCCTATACATGTTATGGATGTTTAACAGGAAATCTGAGCATTGTATGGACGGCAATGGCATAAGAAGGTCTACGGAGGATGTAAATGCACAGGAATGCAGAGCAGGTTACACCGTAACCAACAGGAAAAATACTGTAAAGCCTATCTAATCTTATTAAGTTGAAAATATTTTGCAGCCACAAGAGCGCTCTCATTTTTAGAGTCCTTATTGTTATCTGAAGTCGTTTATACATCAAGAAATGTTGGGTTTTGCTCAGAACAGTGAAAATCTGTCAGATGTTGCTGTATGTGTCTTACCAACACATGGTTCCCATGCAAACACATATAAACACGCATACACATGCAGACCAGAAGCTCCAGCTTTAGATAATGAACGAGATAATCCTAAGAGACGGGTGTAAACTGTTGTGAGATTACTTTACAGCCTTTATTATCACTGCTTCCTCAGCTCAGTGTACACAGGCAGGTCCATTAGTGGCTAAACAGTACAAAGCAAGCAAAGGAGAAATAGATTATGTCAGAGGAGCATGCACATCTACCACGAGTGAGTAAAGAAGTGCGAGAGAGAGAGGGCAAATGTGAATCTGAACATATTTATAAACGACTTTTAAAAGATACAGACGGCAGAGAGACAGAGGAGCAGACAGACAGCGTGGAGAGTGTTTGTCATGCAGTCACAGTCTCACAAATCCCCGTTGAGAGATTGGAAGTGCTGTGGCCTGAGCACAACTTTGACTGAATGACAGCTATCCTTGGCTGACTGCTTGGTTGTACCAGTGTGTTTTTTTTTTTTTTTTGGTGTCTATGCGTGGGCGATTGCTCGGATAGGATGGGAAAGGTGATGGAGAAAGGGAAAAAAGGTATCCATATTAACGTATCCAACCTATTAGATTTATGGTTATGGCCAAGCCTGAAGAAACATAAGTGATGGACACTGCAGACAGCGTCTTAAAGCAGTCTTTGTATGTGGATGCATTAGAAGTGGAAGAGAGGTCTCAAAAGGGATATATTTCCCCCTCTTTCCAGAAACATCTAGTTTCGTGATGCCATTATGACCTATTTACCAAGAGAAATATAATTAGATTTTCCACTTTAAGTATGGTATAGAAACATAATACCCTACCTGGATTTCCATCATGTCTATACAGTTATCAGAAATACTTCCATTTCAGTTGTGTTATTTCTGTGCAAAGGGAATACAGGAAATAATTGGGAAACGTAATTTAGACCACTCAGTGATTCTTGTATCAATATAAACTAGAAGTAAATGAATTAGTCAAGCTTGGCATAACATTGTTATAGCAAATATTCCATATATTCATCAATTTCTACAGTCCCCAAAGTTTTACATAGATTGTTGCCATTTCACAGTGGATTCCACATATGTTGTGCTTTGGGTTGTAAATTGATTGTATATTTATCAAACCAACACGTCCACTTTGATTGAAATTTTTGTATTGAAAAGAGGCATGTTTATTTTTAGCACATTTGTTATTGGTTTCAGTTGTGTGTACTAAATATAAACCTAACAAATTAATGTTGAAGTACTTTTTGTTTCCTTTTTCCTTTAAAAAAAACTGCTTAAAGTACTGTTTGAAAGCTTGCTGTAGTGTTGTGTGTCTGCATTCTGATATACAATGAGCTTACAGACACAGCGGGATGCGTTTGGGAAGGTGACCCAGAACAACTTGCAAGGTCTTATGCTTACGCTACTTCACAAAAAGGAGTCGTTTCCATGACTGATAGTGTTCCTTTGTGTGTTTCTGTGCAGGTATCATTTTTGACAATGTGTGATCATTGTTATGCTGAAAAATGAAGCTGTTGCCAATGAGACACTTTCCAGATGGTATCGCATGCTGATACCTATCATTTTCACATCCAAATTTCAAAGTTTGGATTAATACTCTGCAAGACATGTTGCCACTGATTTTCAGTCCAGTTCTTGTGTAATTTGGCATATCTCAGCCTTTTCTCCCTGTTTCCCTTCCCTAAAAATGGCTTCTTGACAGCCATCCCTCCACTGAGACCATTTCTAATGAGGCTTCAGTAAACAGTAATGGATCACCTGAAGCGCCAGATGCATCGCTCTTTTCTTTGATGGATTTTTCCCCCCCGTTTCTTAAAGACATAACTTTGAGATGCTGTTCATCTGGTGTAGATGCTTTTTAGACCTGATACTTCCTTCTTTTGTCCTCTACTCGTCCAGTTTCCTCAGATTTTATGAGGACACACTGCTCACCATGCTGAGATATGCCAGTTGTTGGCTGATTGCTCTTTGGAATCACCTTGTTGGTGCAAGAACTACCTTATTCCTGT